CAAGACGCCGCGAGCATGAGTGACAATCTATGGAGGTACCAAGGGAAGAGGGCACTCTAGGAAAGGTATCTGCTTGTTTACCAGGGGACATGCCCTTATGTTTTCGGTACATCAGTGCTCTAGGCACGCTTTAACAAAGCAAAGCTGAGGTGCCAAAGAAAGCTAGGAAGAGGCTTGGGAGCAAACCCTTTCAGGACGCGGGGTTTCGGAATTGCAGAGTTCAGGGTCCAGGGTTCAGCATTCCTGATAGAGGCCTTCATGCCTTTCGTCTCATGCTAAAGCGTAGAGGGTGGGCCCGGGCGAACTCTTAGCCATGAAAGGGTTTAGGGTTTAGGGTTAGAACAAAGAGCATTAGACCGGTCCTGACGTCCCGCTCCTCAGGTTTGATTCCCAGTCCTTGGGGTTTGGGGGCTTGGGGGGTTTCTTACCGTGTTCAGGGCCCTAAACCCCAAACCCTTTTTCGGTTCCTAAACCTTATAAACCCTAAACCCCAAACCCTTTTTAGGTTCCTAAACCTTAGAAACCCTAAACCGCAGACCCTTTTTAGGTTCCTAAACCCTAAACACCTGAAACCCTTTTTAGGTTCCTAGATGCGCCCCGGCTCCATGCCCTCGCCTGCGAAGGTCTGACGACCCCACCCACCGCTGGCTTAAGGTTGAACAACTCAATGTCTAAGCCCGGTATTTATAGTGCTTGAGAACAACTTCAGGCTTAATGCCTTATCCTGAACTTATCCTGGCAAGTATAGCGCTTGATACGGTTGATGATATAAATCCTGCGTTACCCACAACAAGGAATAGTCCAGAATTCTCATAGTACAGCGTCCTTAAGGCAATGCAGATTTATATCATCAACAGTACTAAGTATGAATGTATGAATGCAAAACCCTCGACCCCAAACTCTGACCAAGCCCGAACTCCGAGGTTGTTTTAAGCGAAGACGAGCCCTGATCTCAACTTCCAAACCTTAAAAACCATGAGGAATCCTCTCCCCAAGGGTCCATGTACCCGAATTAATTATATATATATATACATACATATATGCATATATATATACACACATACATACATACATACATACATACATACATACATACATATTCTTTGGCATTAACCTAGTCTCTATCTAGGTGCATTAGGGCCAAAACTTACATCATACATCTACTACATGGGTACATGGACCCTTATACCCTAACCCCTAACACCTAATGGTACTTACCCTTATGGCACCCTTAAAGGAACCCTTGAAGGAACCCTTAACGGAACCTTTACAGGAACCCTAGAGGCACATGGACCCGTAGGACTGCTCGGCCCAAGGCCCTAAACCCTAATCCCTGAGCCCTGTACCGGTTCAGGGCTTATAGGGCTCATAGGGCTTATAGGGTGTACAGGGCTTATAGGGTTGATAGGGCTTAGGGTTGATAGGGTTTAGAGGGTTTATAGGGTTCATAGGGCTTATAGGGTTTATAGGGGTAGGGTTGACAGGGTGTAGGGTTTAGGGTCCTGAACCCTAAACCGCTCTAGCGAAGTGTGGGGCAGGCCGAGGAGTTCCTGAGCTTCCTGGGGCTCACAGGCGCCAGGAATTGTGGTTTTCCCCGACCTCCCACCTGAGTGTGCGGGTGTCCGTGTGCGCGTGTCTTTCTTACTTGTAATGATGGTCATATTAGTTTTGATGATACTAAAAAAGGATACCAATAGGAAGAAGAAGAAGATTAGTATTGAAGAAAAATTGAAATGGGCTTAGGGTTAGGGTTGGGGTTCTGGGCACTTCAGAAGGGCTGCCTTTCAGGAGTTGGAGGGTTCTTGACAGCGCGTTCTGTTTCTTTGCAGTGTTGTGGGGCTCGAGGGGTTCGAGGTGGCTCAAGAGTTTGAGTGGAGCTTTCGAAGGGCTGTGTGGATTGAGCCTTTTGCAAAAGGGCTTAGGTTTGTAAGTCTTGAGAACTTGCTCCGAGCCTCCCTACAGAAGTCGAGATGCAACGATTTGCTCACCTTGCTGAGAGACCTTCGGTTTTGGGGGTGTTGGGATGTGGGATCACGGGTTGAAGGGGCCCAAGAGCTACACCGCAAGTACGATGGCTGGCTTGATGGTTGGCGTGTAACTACCTTTATAGGAACCTGGAACCTTACAAACCATGAAGCCTTCACAGCAGTTACAGTTAAGCTTCTGCTGGCGACCCCATGAACCATGGAGCAGGCTACACCGTGGACTGCGAGGAGCTTTGCCAGGCACCTCGACTCTCAGGTAGTTAGGAGCTAGACTCGACCCTAAACCCTAAACCCCTAAACCCCTAAACCCTAAACCCTAGGTGATTAGGTGCAAAAGCTTCAGAGTTGAGGGGTTTAGGGTTGGCACGTAAACTTTGAACCCAACGCCCCCAAGCTGATGGTTCTACATCGGGTGACTGTAATTATGTATAGGGACAGGGTCGCTTCCGGTCTTGATGTCTAGAGGAGTTACAGTAGGGAGTTTGCGCGCATAGACGTCACAAGCGTGGTTTTGATTAAATGTCTCTGCTGCCTGTGCGATGATCTCAGAGGCATTATTCCGAATCCGCCGAATCCTACTGAGTGCCAAGCGATCTAAAGTACAGCTTGGGTTTGTTTGATGGTTTCGGGTGGAGGGGCTTCAAGCTTGAGGGAATGAGTCGAGGCTGGGGGTTTCATGGGCTGGCGGTGGGGTCTAGCTTCTGTTTTCTTGCACGCTTCCCAACACTTTGTCCCGTCTGAGTTTTGTAGATCGCGACTCTAAACCAAAACCCTTGCCGTCCGAATGTCTGCACGCCAAGTCCGGTGGACCCGTCGAAGTCCGACAACCTATCCTAAAATGTTCTTGCATTCCTACCATGTGGGGGAATCCGAATATAGGGGACCCTAATATACTACCCTATATAGTAGGATCCTTAGTATAAGGCCCCTAGAATAAGGTACCCTAATTTCCGGAAGCTCGCATATAGTCATATAATATATGCGGCTGGTGGAATAAGTTTAGCATCGTCTCAAGTACTGTAAGCTGCATGGGGGGTTCCAGTATATATTCCTTATATCCTAAACCCTCAACTGTATAGAGGCTCTTTAATTCAGGTGTGTGTTTAACCGAATAGAGGCTCTTTAATTCAGGTCTGCGTTGATTTCCTTCCTCATTTCTCAGATGAGCTGTTTATGATTCATGCTTGCAAGACATGTCCGACGGCACTCATGTTGCCTGTTCTGAGTTCGGGATTTTGGGTCCAAGTTTTAGACGCAATCGCCACAACTTTTGAGCTCGCGCACCGCTGTCTTCATGGCATTCCAGGCCCTGCAGCATGAACTCACCGAATCTTCTCTTACGTAACGTGTTGCAACGTAGCCTCTCCGGATCTGCGGACGAATCGGAGGCCCTCAAGCCGTCGACGGCTGGACTGGCTACATATGCCGAATTCTACAGTTTAAATCTCTAAACCCTAAACCCCAAACCCCAAGCCCTAAGCCCTAAATAACCCTAAACCTAAACCCTAAACCCTTCAGGGTACCGTGTCTTGATCCGTCTTCAGCCCAGGCGATGCTGACAAGCTCGGTCACGGTGCTCCAGCAGGCATTTGCAGTGCCCGCCTGGATCCTTGAACCCGGAAGCCCTAAACATCCCTAAACCCTAAACCCTTAAACCCTAAGCCCTGTAAGACCCCAAACCCTAACCCCAAAACCCTAAATCCGAAATCCCACACCCTACACCCTGAATCCCAGACCAGAAAACCCCTAGACCCGAAACCCCTAAACCCGTGCGGGGTTTAGGGGTTTAGGGTCTGGTTCGGTTGTAGGGTTTAGGGTATCGGGTTTAGGATGTTGTTGAGAGATTAGGGTTTAAGTATATAGTAAGGGGGTATCGGTATCGTGGCCTCTGTTATGCTGAAAACACTTGATGGAAGATACCAGACATCCCGAATCTGCAGCAGTGGCCTTTCACTTTCGGGTGTGGGGTTGGCTTGGGGCGGTCTGCATAAAATGCGGGCTTACATAGTTCCCGATAGTCTTCTCGGCTTTGGCGTTTCAATATCCCCCCCAAGAAAACAACTATTCTAAGTATAAAGGACCCCACATTATGCCGGAGGGTTGGGGAGCTGCCTGGTGCATGTAAGATAGCAAGCGCTTTGGTCATGGACTCGACGTCTTTCCGAGCCTCTGATTCGGGGTGCCGGCCGGGTTTCTAGGGTTGCTCTTCAGGGGGTTTAGGGTTTAGGGTCTACCCGGACCCCAAAGAACCCACCTTTTTAGGGTTGCTTATGAAATTTTTCTGTATACAAGTCCTTAAAAAGGTGGGTCATTAGAAAGGTGGGTTGTTTGGGGTTAAGGTAAGGCTTATAGGGTCTAGAGAGCTCGGTTCACGGAGGTGATGTGCACATGCCTCAGCGTGCACCCGCAAAAAAAAGTTTACTGTTGCAGGGTTGCCTTGGATACCACACCCGAGCATACGACCTGAGAGAAAGGGTCCTCAAGTCCCGTAGAGCGAAAAGTCGAACAACACGGAAGCCAGAATACTTAACTATACTGTGCCATGTATTATTCCTCAGGGTCCATAATCAAAGTATATGCCCCAAAACCCTAGTCTAATGCTTTAAGGCCTCTATAGATTTCAAGCCTATGAAGCCCTCCTGAAGCCTAAACCTCAGGAAGCTTCTGTTCGTTCAGGAACTACCGCGCGAACTTGGAACGGCTTGTGTCAGCGGGGACTGCTCCGAGGTGCCCTCTGAGGGCGGGGACAGAGGTTTTAACAAGGATGTCAAACAGTTGTACTGGGGCTTCATCCGAGCTTCAGACAGTGTTACAAGGGCTGTATATGGAACGGTCTTGCAATGTTTTCCGGGCGCAGTGATGTCGGACATAGATGTGGGGGGCATTTAAGCTATAGGAGGTACAGCGACAGGGGTTCATGTTAAAGATTGAGTGGCTGTCACGGCTCCTGACGAATGAAGAAAGTGATTCAAACCCGATTCTCCTTTCCACCCTCTTTCGGTGGGTTGTTTCGTCATGGCAAAGCCGCTGGCCATGGACGTCTGGCTCGCCCTGCAGCGCATGCCGATGCTTGGCATGGACACTTCCAAGACCCTATTCTAGTTATAAAGGTGCCTACGTTAAACCCAGTGTAGCTGGGCCAACTTTTGCTGTAGTTGTCTTGGAACTCCTCTTGCCACTACTGATACTGGTTCTGAACTTTCCAACTGCACTAGCAGTGAGGGTTTAGGGGCCTAAGCCCCAAACCTAAACCCTAAACTGTCTGCACTGTCAAGAATAAGCCCAGCTGAGGTATCCGGACAAGGATGCGGCATGGAAGCATATGAAGGCTGTAGGCCACAAGCAAGAACGGAGGTTTCCTGGCTATTCATTCCTTCCCAGAGGGGGTTTGTCATCTCCCTATGTGCGGTTCCTTACAGATGCAGATCTCATCTTCAACGCCACATCATCCGGCAATGTGGATCCCGAGGACCTAACTCAGCACGTAGGCTTTCGACCGGGACATAATTCGTAGTCGGAGCCTTGTCAATTTTGCGCTGCCCGCACATGGACCCTGGATGTTCTCGAGGATTTCTACATGTTGCATGAGCTGGCAGTCGGGCTTTTTCGCGGCCGGGCCAATCTGCACAGCGCCCGCATCGTTTCCGGTGGTGAGGAGCTCTTTGACGAGGACATCCATACTGCAGATGACATGGCTCAAGTTTGTACCTTCGTCCGACAAGGCTGCGACGTGGCGACTTTGACAGGCACAGGGTTCTAGGTCCCATGAGAACTTTTTCCGGGAAGTATGATGCCAACCAGAAGATTTTTTAAGATGGAGCACAGGGGTACACCCTAAGAGCCCTAACGAGAGCAACACGCACAGGCAGTTATCGTCTGCCGAGTGGCTGGCACGTGCCGGTTGATCTGACGCTCCAAAAAGGCGACAAGGACACTCCGCATAGCTCTGGCCTTTGAGAGCCTACATTGTTACATAACCCAGGCGTTCATACATGATAAGCTCTAGGTTTGAGGGCTTGTAGTAATAAGAATCTGCTCTGAGGCTGATAGGTAAGAACCAAAGCTGTCTTTGGCCTATGACCTGGCCAGCTGAAGGACATGTCCAAAGCCACAAGGCTCGATCGGATCCTTTCGAACATCGAGGATCTCAATTTTGCCAAGGTCGTCTCGAGAGTTCGATGCTCTGCTGCATTGATTTATACTTAAACTAGCCGAGAAATAAACACAACAAGCAAACAAACCCAGTAGGGAAAGTCACAGAAAGCAACCGCACATCAAAGTTCAGTCAACGTGTTTCTCTAAACCTAGCGATAATAAAGCGAACTTCAAAAAACACAACAACCTAGAACAAATTCGGAAACAACGCAGAATCCTACGGAACAAAATTAACAAGTAGAGAAATCGACGGCAAACCAAAACAAAGCGGGCAAATCAAAACATTTCCCACAAAACAACACCTTAGCGAAATCAATAAGAACAAGAACACATAGTGACATCGCAGAGTAACAAAACCTTAGCGAAATCAACAAGAACAAGAACACATAGTGACATCGCAGAAATCAAGAAAAAAGCATAAACAGCCTAGGGCAAATAAACCCAAAGAAGGCCGAGGCACTTACGAACACAAGCGACATCAAACACGAGTATTGACAAAAAATGAACCGTTCAAGACGCATCAGAAACAAGCTGAACCTCCATTCAGGCAATGTGTAAGTATTCAGAAAAGACCAGAAACTCAAAACGACAACGAAGAAACAACAGACATGTGACCAGTGGCCCGGCCCCAAGACAGACCAGCCGCGGCAAGTCTGAAGCATAATTTGTGCTTAGCTAGCTATACTCATAATTAAGGTGCAGATAATGCTTTAGTTAAACTACCCCCGAACCGTCAAGTGAGCACCAAGCGATATCGGCCAGGAGGGATGTTGAAGCCCGCTGGCAAAGCTCGGCTGTCGGATGCTTGGAATCGCCAGGGTGGTGCCCTGCGGTTTCTTGTGACGCAGCTTCGCCTTGTCAGCCGCATGCCACTAAAGGAGCAGCAACCGTACTTGCCTCTTGCTGAGTCGATTGGTAGCAATTTGTTGACCTTTTTCGGGCTATTCTACAATCTTACCGCCAGCAAACGGTTCATCTCTTTTGGGCGAGGAGCTTTGGATTTGGAGTTTCGGATTTTGGTGTTACGGTGTGGTTTAGCTTTATCCGACCCGCTCGCGTGCTCAGTATATATGTGGCACGGCCCTTCACTCCAGACCAATTGTATCCCCTCGAAAAACCATTTCGTACAACCCCATGACAGCCTACTATCCCCTAAACCCTGAACCCTAAACCCGAAACCCTAAACCCGAAACCCTAAACCCTAAACCCTAAACCCTGAACCCGAAACCCTAAACCCGAAACCCCTAGCGCCTAACCCTACAAAATCGCGTATTGCAACACGGCCCAGGAGTTTCTTACAGCTGCCCCCCGGCTTCACACCCGAGGCCTGGAAAGATGCCGCAGAGATCGACACCAGCTTGCGATTGGGCTTTTGGGGATGTAGGGGTTTAGGGTTTAGGGTCTAGGGTTTAGGGTCTAGGGTAAGCTTGCGATTGGGCTTTTGGGGATTTAGGGGTTTGGGGGTTTATGGTTTTAGGGTTTGGGGTTGAGGGGTTTAGGGTTTTGGGGGTTTAGGGGGCTTTTGGGGATTTAGGGTTTCGGGTTTAGGGTCTAGGGTAAGCTTGCGATTGGACTTTTGGGGGGGTTTGCCCGATTGGGGAGTTGGAGACTTTGGGATTTAGGATGCTGTCTGGGATCAGGGTTTAGTGTTTAGAATGGCGAATCCAACGACTTGCTGACACCCCGCTATCCTGACGCACAGCCCGGAACCTGAAAATGTAAATTCCCCAACGCCCCATAGTGCTTGGGTTGCTGTGGACGCAGCCCTGAACCCTAAACCCTTACTCCCTAAGCCATCACTCCCTCAACCTTTTTCCCCAAACCCTCGCCGAAGCCGAAAGACACATCTGAAGCTCGAAAAAGGACAGCCGAGCCTTGAACAAATCCATGTGGGGTTTGGGCTTAGGGCGCCGACAGCCACAAGATCCGAATCCAAACTCTACTGGCAGTGTGGCCACGGTTGGGGTTTCGGGGTATGGGGTCCTAGGTTCCGGGTGCAGAAACCTCGCAAAAAGCCGTCGCCGAGCAGAGACCCCGTAGTAGTAAGAGTGACTTACTAGTGCCAGTACTTTGTAGCATCTTTGCTTGCAGCATTTTTGTTACTGGGTAGCATATATATATATACATACACGTGCACAGGTATGTGGACATACATACATACATATATATATATATAAAGACAGAGAGAGAGATGGAGATAGACATAGAGGTTAATATATCGAGATATTTCACAGTTATAAAGAGATATACAGTTATATATATATATGTTATAGAAACAGGCATAAAGATATTCGGTAGATGGATAGGTAGATAGGTCTGCCCATATGTATATAGATATGCACATATAGGTATATAGATACATAGCTTTTGTTATGTGTATACATATATATATATATGAAGATACAGACTGTTGTTATATGTGTATATATATATACGTATGTCTATATGTGTGTAGATCCATCCCAAGACTACCTATCAACATGCACCCTAGGAAATGCAGCACCGAGCGCTGGAAGTTATTGATGAATGCAAAGCTGTCATTAGCAACGCCTTCGCCGATCGTGCAGGCTCGCTTTGCTTTGTCGCAGTTTGTGGTTCTTTCCTCTGCGGTCCAACTTAGTTTAGGGTGTGCAGAGCGCCCCGTGCTTTAGTTTTGTGTTCCATCAAAGCCCTCAAACACTCGAACGCAGACATGCCTAGCGGACATGCGGCGTGGGAACCGGCACTTACCGTCACTCACCTGGATTCTAGGCAAACGTCGAATCATCCTTGAGCTGCCATGCCTCATAAGACTTAAGACCTTGCAGGATCCTGCCTCCATGTTCCCTCGATCCTTCGGACAAGCAGTTTTTTCCTGAACTCAGAACGAAAGCTCAGCAAGCCGGACAGGGCAGCGCAAACCCCAGGTAGCTCCACCGACTGCTGACAGAAGTACAGGAAGGTCAGTATTCAATCAGGTTGTAGCTTGCTATTAGCAGCTGGCCTGTTACAGACCCAGTGCCGTACTGACCCGGACACCAACAAAGACGGTTCTGAAAGCCATTAAATCAGTACCCAGGAGAGATCTGGGACGCACTGGAAAGCAAATCCCAGATCTTCCTATCAACGGCTGGTGGCTCGCAGTTGGAGGGTCTTACCTTGGACGAGCCGTATGTTGAAAGGCTTCGGCAGCTGCATTGGCAATTCTTCGGGTTTAAGGCTTCGTGGTTAAGGGTTTAGTTTTAATTTTCAGCGATGAGCATTCATGCAGGATATATGTATATGTATATGTGCATGTGCATGTGCATGTGCATGTGCATGTGTATGTATGTATGTATGTATGTATGTATGCATGCATGCATGTATGCAATGCGATGCAATGCAATGTAATGTAATGTAGTGTAATGTAATGTGATGTAGTGTAATGTAATGTAATGTACACGTATACATGTGTGTATATATATACACACATACGTATATATACATATGTATGTATGTATGTATGCATGCATGCATGCATGCATGTATGTATGTATGTATGTATGTATGTATGTATGTATGCATGTATGTATGTATATACACAGACGTGTATACATACATACATACATACATACATACATACGTACATACATACATACTTACTTACTTACTTACTTACTTACTTATTTACTTACTTATATATATATATATGTATGTGTGTGTGCTGGCAGGATTTGCATTTTGCCTGCAGTTCCGTTTAGGATGTTTGAACTTATGAAAACCGCACTATGGGTGCAGATATTCCATGCCGTTCTTGGCGGGTTTGTGTGTTTCTCCCCCCCGCCCCTCTCCAAACACGAGGTATGGGACCAAAGGTCGCAAAGGCAAGGGCAGTGGTACTGGCAAGGGCGGTGATGACAGAGACGCAGTGGATTCTAAAGGTGCTCCTTCGAGAGGCACCGGCAAGGCTGGCAAAGGCAGAGGCCATGGAAAGGATGGTGCGGGTGGATATCCAGCCCATGTCGAAGGTGTCCATGCCAAAGGCCATGGCAAGAAAGGCGATGGACATGCTGGCAAGAAAGGCAAGGGTCGATATGGCTATCCATCCGGTTGGTAGTCAGTGTCTGAACAGGACCTCCAGAAAGAGGTGCTGGAAAATTGCTTGGTGCCATGCCGCGGCGTAAAAGAGCCCTACACTTCAGACCGACTATTGTGGGAGACGGGCTCCCAGCAAATCCTCATGCATGTGGAAACGAAAGGATGCGATAGTAAGTCCTCGTGGGCAGGCGGGGTTGTCAAGATTCAGGGTCTCTTCTTCGACAGTCTTCTGCTAAATTTCGTTACTACGTACTGTTGATGATATAAATCCTGCATTACCTATTGAGGACCCTAAACTATGGGAATTACTGTATGGTAGCTTCCTTATTGTGGGTATTGCAGGATTTATATCATTAACCGTATCATGCATGAGTTGTCGTGGGATCTGCTCTTCTGAGCCTCTGCACAAAACCACTCGCATCCCTGAAGTCACCTGCATCTCCGAAGTCATGCAAGTGCGTCAGGATCGCTAAGCATATTGCCATACCCTAAACCCTAAATCCTAAACCCCTATAAACCCTAAACCCTAAACCCTAAACCGGTGAACTCCAAAGCCTGAGTTCACGGCCAGAAACGCCAAATCCCCTAATTGTTTGAAGTTGAGGAGCCTCCCCGCCACTCAAAAACAACTGCACCTCAAGTTTGTTTGCAGGTCGTGAAGCTTTCTCAGTCTGAGATCTTGGAGCCGTTTACCCAGCGACTTAGGATTGAGTCTTCAGGGGATTTAAAAAGTGCTTACGCTTTGGGGTATAGGGGTTGAGGGTCCTGAGTTGACATGTGGATGGCGGGTTGAGGATTCAAAGAGGTTAGGGCTCGGGCAATCCTTTCTGTGCACGAAGTCCTAGTCTCCACCGCCTCACGCCAAAAGTTTCATGGTTTAGGGCTTATACTCTCCCACGAGAATCGTCAGCTGTGTTCCCAACTAAGTCACTGCAAGAAGGAGTGAGTTCGTTCATATGGGCAGTTCTCTAGATTGGGGTCTGCATTTTCACAAGAACCCGAACAGGGACCCCGTTCTTCGGAGAACTCGGCGTAAATTGAAGCTCGGGTTTAGAGGTTTAGGGAGTTTAGGGCTTTAGGGTTTAGGGCTTTAAAGGTTTAGGATTTAGGGGTTTAGGGTTTTAGGGTGTAGGGTGTAGGGTTTTCACTGTACGCATGCTCCGACATCCGCTGGGCCACCCGCAGTTTGGACTGGGGATACCCGGAGAGAGAAATGCCTCTTACCCTGTAGGAACATTCCATGAATCAGAGCACGAAGCTGTATGTGGGCAGTTCTCTAAATCAGGGCCCCTTTTAGGATCCTTGCGATAAGGGTGCCGTACTATATTTGGGACCTAAAAAGGGACCCGAATTTAGAGAAGTACCGATGTAGCTTGAGGTATGTAATTCTTAGTTGAGACCTAAGCTTTCGCATGCTCCCGAAATCCATCGTCGGTGCAAAAGGGCAACGGCAAAGTGTGGCAGCTCCCTCAGGGACGACTTGGTCAGCACCGGGACGCATGAGGAAGACGAGGCCAGTCTGCGTGGATTTCATTTCTTTGTTCTGGGTGCTGTAGAGCTCAGAAAATTACGGCGGCTTCTGCTTGTTTGCTTGGCAATCGAAGTGTGGTCGCGCACTCGGTTCTTGAGGTGATCGTGCTACAGCGCATGGGTTGTGCCAGTGTGTGCAGGCGCAGTCCCTGAATGTGTGTTTTCACCATTTTGCACATATCTCGGAGACTACTGTTCCAGTCGCCGATATTCGAGGGGAGCGAGTGGATGCCCGTTAATGCAATATGCCTCGGGGCACCACATGTTAGCATTTGGTTCGGGCTCCAGAATGCTACAAGGTTCTTTCAAGGGAGTCCATTACCCTTCTGAGATTTGTAACAGAGAGTCTGCTGCAGAACTTTAAAAATTAGACTAGCATCGGCAGCACGGCTTCTGTTTCGGATGCCTATCAATCCCAACAAATCTGCATGGCACCCTGAAACGCTAAGCGCAAGAAATGACACCCTTAGCCTAAGGCACATCAATATTCGAGATGAAACCCGGATACCCTGGACCCTAGACACTCACAGTAGTATGGTACTATAACGAGTATATATATATATGTACACACACACATATATATATATATGTATATAGTATAATCATCGTTGAATACAGTACCATACTATAGAACAGCCGCGCTGTATAACAGGATGAAAGAATCATGGTTCCCTGGTGCATTACATAGTGTAGTAGTAGGAGAAAGTATCGGTTGAATCAGTACATTCGCAGTGGAGGAATTAGCAAGGGAGTCACGGAGCGATGGTCTTCAGGGCTTAGGGTTTAGACTAACCTAACCGAGAAATAGAGAAATAGAACTAGTAGTTGTCATTGGAACAATAGTAATAGGGATGATAGCAAGAAGAATAGCAAATAGTAAACACAAAATAACAACAATAATCGACTCGCAGCAATACTCCTGATGATGTTCGCAACAAGAAGACTTGCAAGGACTGGCCATATATAGATATAGAACACACATATGCAGCACGCACACACGTAGATGGATAGTTATCTGAATTAGGATCACTTTTTAGGTCCCCAAAATGGTACAGCATGAAAAGCACCCTAAAAGGGAGCCTAATTTGGAGAATTGCCCATATCCATAGGCAAATAGTTAGATAGATAGATAGATAGATCGCTAGGTGTGTATATAGATATATGTAGACTCGCATGGTATACACGTATGAAAGCTCGACAAGCATGGGGGTCGGTCGGGGAAAGGGAGAGCCCGTCGGCAGCGTTCCCCCGCCGATGTCACACAGCGAGGAGATGTGCCGGCCTCAGGGTGGGAACTTAGGGTTTAGGTTTTAGGGCTCAGGGTTGTTAAGTTGTAGGGTTCTGTTTTGGGTTTAGGTTGCAGGGTCTATGATTTGAGCTAGTTCAAGCTACCGCACTACCAATTGACCCGCGGGTTCTGTTTGTTTTGATCTGTTTCTGGGGTGTATGTGGTGAGGGGGGGGGGTGAGAGGGGGGTAGTTCCGTTCTGCTTAAGGGCGTCCATTACCGAGCAGTCCTGGCAATTGTGCTCCATGAATAAACAATACACTGAACAACAGTCTACTATAATTTATAGTACACTAGAATACCGTACTATTAATTATAGTATAAATTTATCCTTCAATAGCACGAAAGCTCAAACCCTAAAGCCTAAGGCCAACATCCCAAGTGCGGGCGGAGCGGTGCACACCCAGACCCCTCTACCTTAAACCCGACACCCGACACTTTCAACATGCCCCTCCGCCAACAAAAAGCATGCAGAAAAACCCGAAACTGCGCTCACCGGTCGAGACAAATTCGTGTGTTTTGAAAGAACAACATATAACATGTTGCTCACGTGCGTCCAATGCCTTCCCCTGCAGCGTTTTTCTCACAACAAAGCTTGTGTTTTCACCGAGGTCAAAACACAAAGTGCACTGCAAGTACAATCTCCGCCCCCCCTCCCCCAGAGACAAAAAAGCATGGCAATACTGAAGCCCCACAAACCCATGCCTCGGCCGAAATCCTAAAGTGCCGTTTTATCCGGAAAACCGTAAAGACCAAGCTGGCGGACATTCGTGGCCATCAATTGCAAAACCTTGCTTTCGCCTCGGCAAAACCACCAAAACAACGAGAAGATGGCCCGAAAACCTGAGCTGTTGCGCAGGGCTGTCTCCCAGAACAAATACTGCTAAAGCAGAATGCGTCGTTTTACCTCGACAAAACAGCTGCTTTGAACTGAAAAGCACCCCCGCTATCGCGGGGATCGTTTCAAAGGGCGCTACCTAGTTTAAGGATTTTTCAGGACCTGGCGTAGAGAGTTAGGATTTGTAGCGGTTGAAGCGCGACCATCAACCGATCTGGTAGTCGTGCCGAGTAGTACCAGCTACCCGCAGTCAAGTTCACTGTAGTAGCAGCTGCAGCAGAGAATAGATTAGCAGGACGAGTAGACTTGTGAAGGCAAGCTGGTTGTTGTAAAACGAACTGGCAAGATGCGCACGACGATGGCAAGGGTGTTGATGACGGTGTCTGATATTGATGGGCGCTGCAAAAGTACAGCAAACAAGAATGCGATGACTGCTGCCTTCACTGTCGTTGTTACGTGTGCTTACCTACTCAGCTCCACTAGTGTGCTTCGTTGTGACCGTTGTTGCTGTTTTAATTCGTGTGGCTGTGGTCTTTCTTGCTGGTGGTTCTGTCTTGCTGCTGTTTTTTTGCTGCTGCTACTGACATTGCTTCTGTTTTCATGAACGGTTGCACTTACTGCTACTGTTGTTACTCTGCGGCTTAGTACTTAATTAGTGCTTCTATACCCGCTATAGTAGTAGATTTATTTAGAAATAACCGTACTCGTCGTACCAGTTCCAATAGCCATATGTAGAATTGTACTGCAGAATACATGTCTGTAGCGAAGTATGTAAATGAATACCGCATCATGCACTGACAGTATATGTTGCCGTAGGTAGTACCAGCTAGGATTCTCTTAGCAGTAGCATTCAGACGTCGTACTGGTAGTAGTAGCACCAGCAGCAGCTAGTAGCACCAGCACAAGCAACAGCGGTACCAGTACCAGCAGCAGCAGTAGCAGTAGCAGGAGCAGTAGCATGAGCAGGAGCAGTAGCAGTAGCAGCAGCAGCAGTGGCAGTGGCAGTGGCAGTGGCAGTGGCAGTGGCAGTGGCAGTGGCAGTGGCAGTGGCAGCAGCAGCAGTAGCAATAGCAGTAGCAGCATCACTAGCTGTAGCCGTAGAGCAGTAGCAGTGTGTCAGTGACAGTAGGAGTAGCGGCAGCAGTAGCAGTAGCAACATCACTAGCCGTGGCCGTAGAGCAGTAGCAGTGTAGCAAGGGCCGTAGTTTTACAGTGATCACATGACTATTGTTACTCCTTGTTGCATGTGTTTTGCTTACGAACTCACTCTCAGGCAGAAGCTGCTGCGCGTTGCAATGGCGGCCAGGGGCTCGGTCTCGAAGTTATTCATCCTTCCAGCCTTGTAGTCTAGCTCCATCTTATTG